TGTACAGATTACAGGTAGTCACTGTACAGATAACAGGTAGTCCATGTACAGATTACAGGTAGTCACTGTACAGATTACAGGTAGTCCATGTACATATTACAGGTAGTCACTGTACAGATAACAGGTAGTCCATGTACATATTACAGGTAGTCCATGCACAGATTACAGGTAGTCCATGTACAGATTACAGGTAGTAACTGTACAGATTACATGTAGTCCATGTACAGATTACAGGTAGTCAGTGTACAGATTACAGGTAGTCCATGTACAGATTACCTGGATATAGTCCACACATAAACTACCTTCAGTTCATCACCTGGATATATTCCACACATAAACTACCTTCAGTTCATCACCTGGATATATTCCACACATAAACTACCTTCAGTTCATCACCTGGATATATTCCACACATAAACTACCTTCAGTTCATCACCTGGATATATTCCACACATAAACTACCTTCAGTTCATCACCTGGATATATTCCACACATAAACTACCTTCAGTTCATCACCTGGATATATTCCACACATAAACTACCTTCAGTTCATCACCTGGATATAGTCAACACATACACTACCTTCAGTTCATCACCTGGATATAGTCCACACATAAACCACCTTCGGTTCATCACCTGGATATAGTCCACACATAAACTACCTTCAGTCCATCACCTGGATATAGTCCACACATAAACCACCTTCGGTTCATCACCTGGATATAGTCCAACTGGTCCTCTTAACTAAAATCCCTAAATATTTTGTTTGTCACCCCAGATCAGTGAATACCAGTCCTAATCAATGATACACCTATCTCAAAACGTTTGAGGTAAATAATTCTGCTTCAATACCTATCAGTACCTCCTCTGTGGAACAAACCTTCCTTAACCCTCTGTATATAACGCTAGTTTAATACATACTAGCAAAGCTGATAGCCAACAAAACTGAGAAGGAAACGTTATCAAGGTTACATAATATTTCAAGTGTACTAGTAACAAGTAAAGGAATAAAAGGATACCAATTGTTTACAATTGCTAGAAAAACTGGTAGGAAACCCAGAGAAAATTCCAAATACAAAGTGTGTGTCAAAGATTGACTGCCAAACTGACTAGATTATAATTATATTAATAATCTAAAACAAAATACGCCTATATCACGAGTTTATATGTCAACTCCATCTATATTTTTTTGTAACATGTCAAGTACACGCAATAATTATGGTCAGCTACATACGCTTTCAGGTGGTCCATGTACAGATTACAGGTAGTCCGTGTACAGATTACAAGTAGTCACTGTACAGATTACAGGTAGACACTGTACAGATGACAGGTATTCACTGTACAGATTACAGGTAGTCACTGTACAGATAACAGGTAGTCACTGTACATATTACAGGTAATCACTGTACAGATAACAGGTAGTCCATGTACAGATTATAGGTAGCTAAGTCCATGTATAGATTACAGGTAGTCACTGTACAGATAACAGGTAGTCACTGGACATATTACAGGTAGTCACTGTACAGATTACAGGTAGTCACTGTACAGATAACAGGTAGTCCATGTACAGATTACAGGTAGTCAATGTATAGATTACAGGTAGTCCATGTACAGATTACAGGAAGTCCATGTATAGATTACAGGTAGTCCATGTATAGATTACAGGTGGTCACTGTACATATTACAGGTAGTCACTGTACATATTACAGGTAGTCACTGTATCGATGATTACCTTCATATCATATTTTGTGAAATTATCTACAGCAGGTCAAAGTGTTTGGAACACTATAAATTCTCTGTTGTAAATGATTTCAAGTACAAAAACAAGTAAATCGTTGGATATTATTTGCCCTTTTTCCTCAAAATGAATCAAATTAGAGTGTAATTTTGTGTAAAAAGTTACAGATTAATTATTTTATTAGAACAAATTAAAAGATTTTTACAAACAGTTTATTGACTCAAGCTAAAAATATACAACTATACAATTTATGAGTTTTAAAGCCCTTTCAAACTTAAATACAAGGAGTTTTATAGCCCTTATAGCACACATTATATTGTGAGCTTTATAAAACTCATAATTTAGTAGTATCATAACATTTGTGTATATAATACCCTTCATAACTCATTACAGTAATTTCTACTTACATTCCATAGAAACGTAAAATGTCAGAAAGCGAGGAAATGAAGTCATTGAGACTGCCTATAATTTAGTTTTGATCCGAGAGTCATTTGTATATTCCATTGGGGATTGTTGGCTCTCTTTAGCATCAGAATTGTTTTTGTCCAGTGGGGAATCATTTTCAGCATTATTTTCATCTGTCTTTTTCGACTTTGTGTCTTTAGATATTTCATCAGAACTAATCGGAGGCTTCCTCTTCGCTGCTGGCTCTGTATCTGTCATGGCTGCAGCTGAAGGATGTTCAGTATCAGCTTCAGCAGCATCTCCATCCAAACTTTTCTCATCATTTTCTTTTCCAGATTTTGTGAAATTTCGCTCAGCATCTTTTAATACATTCCTAGTCACATGACTAGGTGTGGTGGATTTCTCTGTCTTTCCTGGTGATTTCTTCAAATTTTTCACTTTTTCCTCTGTAGCTGATAACTCCTCTGTTTAGAGAGAAAAAATGCATTCAGGTAAAAACTATACTTTTACAATAATCATCTTCACAATATCAATGACTCAATTCATATCCTACAGGTATATCACGTATATGGACTGTCTTGGCACCCTCTGCTTCTCAACTTTAAGCGTTTTTCTCGCTTTGAATTTTGCGCTAACTTAAGATTGCACAACTGAAGTTTTGATGTATTTATTGTTCTTTATTGCATATTTTTGAGTGTGCCAATTCATCACTGCTATAATCTGTTAAAATTTGATAATGCGCTAAAATCTGAGTGCACTTAGGTTAGTACTTTAACAGTATTACAGGAAAGGGAGACACAATCATAGTCTACTCTTACTGCGATATTTTGAGAAGTGACTATTACATGCATTGAGACATGGGATCTACAGATCTACATCCAAACACAATAGTATGGTATCAAGCTGACCCTGATTGGCATCATGTTGGATAACTATGTCTGAAAATTCCTTCCACCAGGATTTGAACCTAGTGGACTTAAATTTAAGACCAATATCATCTTTAAACTTTACTTGACCAACTTAAGTTAGACTTTTAGAAGAGTCCACTCAAAGACATTTTACAACTTACCATCATCATTGCCTTTCTGCTCCAGGCTGGAAGAAACTGGGAAATATAACTGCATGAGTTCTTCATAAAGAGCAACATCTTGGGGCATAAACAAACAGAAGATGATCCGGTCCACCTGTTCAAAACAAAAATACAGGTAAATAGTTGTTAATTAGGTGACAACAGGTAAATCAATCAAATATATTGTATATAACCATTGATAAAGCACCCTATCTAGCTAGAATATGTTTAGAGGAATTCCCAGGAGCTGTTGTATCAGGTGCTAACAACTAGCCCTATGCCACCTGGCTAATACCTCCAGCTGTGTGTAAGTGTTTTGGAGATGTATTTTGTTCTGTTTTGCTGTGTGACCATGCTTGACAAAGATAAAGTTGGTAGTATGATGATCTCTTTAGAAGTGTTTTTGCCAAGACTGGTAAAGCATGTACAATGTAGTCTTCTTCAATTCACTAGCAACAGTTTGACTTCACAGGTAGATGACCCGTTACAACCAAATAAACATGATAACTGTAACTCTTATCTAATAAACAACAAGAGGCCCAGAGGGCCTGTATCGCTCACCTGAATATGTTTAAAATAATTGGTATGCAGTAAAGATATAGCACTCCATGGTAGGTGCTGTCATATGAAATTTCAGAAAGATCCATCCAGTACTTGAGATATAGAGAGAACAAACTTCAAACAGAGCCCCATCCCTATGCCCCTAGGGGGGGGGGTCATACCCATCAATTATTCAAAATTGAGTCCCCTTGACCCAAGGATGCTCCAGACTAAATAACGATAAAATCCCTTAATCCCGATGGTCAAAGAAGGATTTTAAAGGTTTTACCTCTATTTCTCCTATTGGGCCCCACCCTTCTGCCCCCTGGAAGACCACATCCACTGCTTATACAAAATTGAGTCCCCTTGACCCAAATTTGGTCAAAAGCCTGTCATTTATATTCCTCCAGAAAAAAACGGATTTTTAAGCTTTACCTCTATTTCCCCTATTGGGACCCTCCCTTCTGCCCCCAGGGAGGCCACACTCGCTGTGTATACGAAATTGAGTCTCTTTTGCCCAAGGATGCTCCAGACTGAATAAGGATAAAATCCCTTAATCCCTATGGTAGAAGAAGGATTATGAAGGTTTTACCTCTATTTCCCCTATTGGGCCCCGCCCTTAAGGTCCCAGGAAAGCCACACCCACCGTTTATACAAAATTGGTTTCCGATTATCCAAGGATGTTCCACACCAAATATGGAACAAATCATTTCATTCCTACAGAAGAAGAAGGATTTTAAAGTATAATTTGCTATGTTTCCCCTATTGGGCCCCCCCCCTCACGCCCCTGGGGGGCCAGATCCACGGGGTATACAAATTGGATCCCCTTTACGGAGGGATGCTTCCGACCAAATATGGAAAAAATCCTTTCATTCCTACAGAAGAAGATGGATTTTAATGAATAATTTGCTATGTTTCCCCTATTGGGCCCCACCCCTCAGGCCCCTGGGGGGCCAGATCCACGGTGTATACAAATTGGATCCCCTTTACCAAAGGATGCTTCCGACCAAATATGGAACAAATCCTTTCATTCCTACAGACGCAAGACGATGGACGACGGACGACGGACGCTGCGGTTTGGCATAAGCTCACCATGGTCCTATTGACCAGGTGAGCTAAAAATGATATTTTTATTCTTTAATAATACATCTTAAACTAGAACTGTCGCCTATGGGTTAACTAATACTCCCCACATTCCGGCTGCTTGTTGCCCCTGTAGGGGCTAAATAAACAAGGGGAAAAACATATAGAAAGATCAAGGGTCATGAAAAAGTCTAACCTCAGATGTAGTATCGACAGACCGATGGAAAAGACAAACACCACTACTGTGACCTTTGACTCAATGGCCTTGGAATTTTGTCACAATGCAGCTTGTATCAATGCTACATTTATTCCAATGTATGTGTATACAAAATACCTTCCATTTCTGCCATAATAAGCCATTTCAGTAACATAATGCATCTGTGACCTTTCACCTTTGACCTCATGACCTTGAAAGTTTTTTTTACAAAATAGCCTGCATAATTGGCTACGAGACTAATGAATATGTGTATACAAAATACCTACCGTTTCGAGATAATTAGCTATTTCGGTAACGTAATTCATCCATGACCTTTGACCTGTGACCTCTGACCCCAACAACCTTGGAAACTGTCTGTAGCTAGAGTAGATTTCATTAAAGCCAACAATATTTTAAGGTATATATATGTGTATACAAAATACCTTCCGTTTCCCCATTTCAGTAACATAATTCATTTGTTTAACCTTTGACTCCACGGAAAGTTGAAACCTGACAAAAAAACCAGTTATATATGTTAAACATTATTGCTTCTTGTATGACCATACCAAATTTGGAAGGACGGACAACCTGATTCCAGTATACACCCCCTAACTTTGTGTATAACTTCTTGCAGGTGGTATAAAAACATGTTGTTCCAAACTTTCAAATCTGCTTTTCAGAACACCAATCTACCTTGTCCGCATTGTTGTCTTCCTCCAGCCATTCCCTTATAGAAGATAGAACAACATCGGCAGCTTTACTGGAGGGGTAACCTGTAACACAACATGGTAGTACTGGTATATAACATTACACAATGTAATATATATCAAAATCTCTCTTAGGGGGGGCCTTAACACAACACCATATTATACATCCTAATCTCTACTGGAAGGGGTTGGGGGTATCTTGTCTATCAACATTAAATTATAAATAAACAAGAGGCCCATGGGCCTTAACGGTCACCTGATATATTTATACAGAGAGTTGATTTCGTTTTTAACATGAACAGAAATATTATTCAAAGTGACAAAAAACAATAAAACCACCTTATTCAATATCAAGCATACAGATTTCAGACTAAAAAGGATTTGAAACTAGCACCTCTGATTCTAAACAAGGAAAATGAAGAAATTTTAGCACACTGACTCCCTTGAGCCCCACCCTACAGCCCTTGGGGGTAGGGCTGGCTCAAAATTTTCAAAGTATCAAACTGTCAACTCAAGGTTATAATTCCAATCAAGTTATTAACATGTAATATTCAA